AAGGAGAAACAAAAAAAGGGGAAAAAAAAAGAAAAAGGAAAAGAGAAAAAAGAAAAGGAAAAGGACTTATTCTTGCTCTGCTTAGGAGACCATATGGGCCATATGGAGTGCCAGGGATATTGAACTTGACTAAGCAGTGTGCCAGACCAATGCCCTACCCACCTACCTGTTGTAGCATTTCTCTGGCCCCATTTTCTCATATTAACATCAAAGTCATTGTTCATTCAAAGAAAATTACTATGAACGTCATAAAAACAATAGGGTAACTTTTAAAAAATTATATATGCTAGCATACAATTCTAGGCTGTCATTAACATTGCATTTTATATGGCCATTTAAATGCTCAATTTGTCTTTATTTTAGTAGCACCACAACAGAATATTCAAAATTCAATCTGAAGGGAAAAAAAAACCTTCTTTTAAAAATAATATGAAAAAGGAACTTGTAACTTAAAATTTGGAAAATCTGATGTGGTCATCTTATAACACTTGCTTATTAGGTCAGGGAGGGACCTATTTGTTGTATGTGAGTAAAGCAAAATGAATAGAAGAAAACAGAGATAAACAAAGGAGAGCTTCTGAGGACATTCTCCTTTTTGCTTCAGCTTCTTCCTGAAAACTAGTTACTTTCTTGCATTTGAAATCTGGGCTATGGGCTCTTACAGTAAGTATCCACCCTTATGTCTTTTAAATTTTATAGTTAAGCTTGTTTGAACTAATCTGTATTACATGCAATATTCCTAAGACAGTTATAGAGGAATTGAGGTTCATTTGTATGTAAAGAAATTTGAAGATTTCACGCAAATCCTGGGGGCTTCTGATACTGCTTGATGTTGTCCACCAAGAACCCTGAAACTGAGTTGGAAGAAGTCAAGATAATAGCTCCAAAAGGACATGTAAATCAAGTTATTGTTTTCAGAGAATGACCTGCTATTAGATTGAGCTCTTTTTGGAAGGTCAACCACCTTCCAATTTAAAGATCCTTCTTCTTTCTTTAGTTCAACAATTTTTAAAAATAGAATTTTAATACATTGCTCATCAGATGAGCTTTTTGAATCTAATGGAATTTATATTTTACTGGTCCTAAAGAATACGACTAAATAATTTCTGAGTTAAGTAAATAAAGTTAAAATTTTCTGACAGGCTTCTCAAGGAAAAAAAGTGTAATGATGAAGAATAAAGAACCAATCTTAATTTTTAAAATATTCATAAAAACAGCTCATAACCCTGAACCTGGCATTTCTTACAAGTTTCCTTAACGCAATATAATTTGTTAAGACTGTGTTTGTATTGGCGCTGTCATACAGCATGGAGTTTTCATTCCCATATTTTGGCAAAATTTGGGTGATGTAGAACCCATACTAAGCCTGACAGAATCTCATTCACACTTCTCATTTTCCCACATTTTCCTTGATTCTGGCTTACTTTTGGCAACTGCATCTCATAAACTTTTTGAGGAAGTGAAAATATGAATCCAGAGATGTTGAGTATAGTTTGTAACCCTAGTGCCAATGGGGCTTATAGAACAAAGGGTTCTAGTTGACGTCTAAGGGGAGAGTGAGTTATCTCACTTCTCTTCTCTCTTGTCCATTTCCAGAAATCTGCAAACCTTCCATTACTGAACATCCTATATTGGCAGCTGGCCAAGCAGCCAGCATTCAGACCATAATGTAATACCACTTTCTTTATCAGAAAGACATATCATCTGCAATAACCTCACTATTTTTCGTCCATACTGATTATAACTCAATTCTATTCAATTTGTCTTTGTATTATTTAAGAATGAAGCCCCACGGAACCCAGATAATGCAGAACTTTGTGACCTTGGACTCTGGACTCAACGGGACTGAAACAGAGATCCTCTGCCTGCTTCCCCTAGTCTCTGGTGACTCAGGGATCACACCCATAAGCCACACCCTGCTGGCACCAGATAATCTCATCGTCACCCTCCAGAACTCAGGATGGTCCTCCCAGACAGAAGTATAAAAAGAGGCTCCAGGACTCTGCGGCAGGCTGTGTGGGAGGTGAGAGCCCTCCCCACCCCAAGGGACCCAGCCCTGGCAGCTGACCTCCACTGTCCAACTACCGCCATGCTCCAGGATGCTTTCCGGACACATTATAAGACACTTCCTACCCATTTATGTCTCCCAGAGAGGCCGGCAAGCTACTGAGAATATCCCGCCCGCATGGGCAGGGTCTGGTAAGCCCCCCCCGGCGTATTTGATATGCCAAATACAGTAACGACAATAGGTCTCATTCCCCTGACCCTGAAAGCCTCCAATCGTTGGGAACAGACGAGTAAGAGGCTGCTAAAATTTTACGGCTTGGAGGACAGAGGTTACTGGTGCCCGCTCGAGTAATTCGATGATCAATGGGATGACAGTGATACAGTAATACAGTAATTAAGATATATAGACAATAGAAACCTGGGATGATAGTGGTTCAAACAGGTGGTATTTTATTTTACTGTCATATAGATGTCACAGAAGCCCATGGAATGATAAGAGTTATCCTCCTAAATCCTTGGGGATCACTGCTACTCCCAGCTCACCAGATAATAGGGATGGCTTTTGTTCTCAAAATTTAAGATAGCTGCTGAAACTTTTTTTTTTGGGGGGGGGGGCAAGGTGAGGAAGAAAGGGGGCCCACACCTGGCAGTTTAGGGATCATTCAGGAAATCATGTAGTGCCAGGGATCTAACCTGCGGTTCTAACATGCAAAGCCTGTACTCCAGCCCTTTGAGGTATGTCCCTGGCTCAGCTGCTGAAACATGAGCTGTAAGTTACATCTACATTCCAGACAGCAGAATTCAAGAAGGGAAGAAAGCAGAAGGCAACTTTTACAATTCTGATGGCTTCAAAGGAAGGTTCCCAGAAACAATCCTTTGTTTCCACACTGGATTGGGTCTTTCTGTGGAAAGCCCTGTTCTGAGCCAGAGTTCTACTCTAAGGTCGAGAGAACAGAAAACAGGGCTCAACCATGTTTCACTCAGTTACAATTCCTTAGCACAGCTAACTTTTCTCTTGACTGATCTAATAAAACCATTTACAAGGCTAACCCTAACTGTTGACAGGTTTTTCTGATCTCGCATGTAGCTGCCAAGAATATTCTTGTAGTTGCCAAGAATTTTCATTCAGGGTAGAAATAATGGAGTATTGTAGTTGAAGTTAATGATCTTTTTGTTAATTATATAAATACTGAGAAGTTAATAGACATATCCATAGAAACACTTTTTTTTAAAAATAAAGGCATCAATGCTTTATGATAAACACAATTCCTCGTACCTTGTAATAATGAGCCAAATATTCATTTTTCCTTGCTCTGTTAGAAACTCTATATACCCACACTACATAGATGTTCCAGATTTTTATATCTTTTATTCTGGGGGTTTGGGTGAAGGGGGGAGGTAACTGTTGGAATACTTGAGGTTTTTTTTTTCTTTCCTATATTTATTTATTGAATCACTGAGAAAAGTTACTAAGCTTTCAGGTGTAAGTCTCAGTCATACAATGATCAAACACCTCTCCCTTCACCAGTACTCATTTTTCACCACCAAAACCCCCAATATATCCCCCTTCCATCCCTCCCAATGCCTGTGAGTCAGATGATTTCCACTTAACTCTTCTCTACATTGATTACATTCATTATTTCGACAAAAGATGCACCATTATTGTTTAGAATCCCCCCCCCCCCCCCCCCCCAACAATCAGAATTGCTGAAAAGGCACTGTGAAATACTTTGTTTCTATAGCTGGTTATGAGAATCATGTCACGCGGCTGTGATTTTGGATTTCTGCAAAAAGCCAGATAATTATGAGATTGGTTTCTGTGCAACCGGTGTTATGGCTGTGCTGGAGAGCCACTCATGGGGGGCAAGGATGAGTCGGTACTGTCCCCCTTCCCATGAAGCTGCAGTTGCCCCATCACTGCCAACTCACACCTGGTTTTCCAATAAGCTCTGAGGTGACGGCCACCTTGCTGCTGGGGGGGAAAAAGGTGGAAGGGAGCAACACCCTTTCCGTCCCGGGGAGGCATGGCGCAGTAGTTTAACACATGGTCCACTCACTTTTCTGCCGCAAGATACTGGGCTCTGGACTAAGTCCTTTTTGCCTCTGGAGACATGGCAGTGCCAGAGAGCCGCTCATGGGGGGCAAGTCATGACCTGAGTAGGACATGAAGGATGAGCCGGTACCGGCCCCCTTTCCATGAGACTGCAGTTGCCCCATCACTGCCGGCTCATACCTGGTTTTTCAATAAGTTTTGAGGCAGTGGCCATCTTGCTGCCGGGGAGGGAGGGGGAGCCTCTGGATTAAGTTCTTTTGCCTCTGGAGCCATCTGGTGAGGCCCCGTGTGTCTCATCACTGCAGGCCCAAACCTGACTGTCCAGTGTCCTCTGGAGGATGGTGGTCGCCAGGCAGACAAGGGGAACAGGCCAAGGCATGAAATCTACTCCCACCTGGAGTGGCCCAGTGCCAGTAACCTACTGCGGGAACAGGATGCATTTCTGCCAAAAGCCTTTGGGTTCCGAGATTCGTTTCTGAGTCTCTGGGACCATGGCTGTTAAGCAGTTCAATCAGGAACCAGAGAGGCCATGCCTCCAATTATATAGCTGAGCTGAAGGTGGTTTGTGGGTATGTCTCCCACATACCTAACTTTTCTTATTTCCTTTCTTGGTAAACTTTGTCACAAGTTTTTGGGGTCTGGCCAAAGGCACAGCAGCAATTTTGGGGTATCTGAAATTCTGACGATGCCATTAGGCTGCTGATGCACTCGCCTCACAGGTACAGATTGACCTGCTGGCAGCACCATACCCCCCAGCCCCTTTCTTTTTTTAAAATTTAACCCACTAGAACCAATACTACTATCAGCATGGAACCCAAACTATAATAATTCTGCTGTAAATAATGTTGTCAATCACGGAGCCTCAAATCTTTAAAAAAATTAGTTTCACAGGTATTTTCCCAGAGATTAGTTATATGAGGTAAATAAAGCGACAAAAAAATAGTAAGAATATTTCACTTTTATTTGCAAAATTTAAAAAATGAACTGTAATAAACATGATGAAACAACAAAGAAAGTTCTTAGCTTTCATTCACCATGGCTACCAAAAATAAATTATTTTAATAGATATTTAAGTTTGCCTCCTTTCTCGAGAAATTAATGTACTTACATACATTTAAAAAAAATTCTTTCATTGAGACTTCAGATGAGGCACTGTTCTATTATTTTAGAACTGTAAAGTTTCTTAAAAAGTTAACATAGTAATATTCTACTACAATGAACTGAATTTTTTAAAATAAAAATTCGATAAATTCCATAATTAAGGTGCCCTGAATTATGATTAAACTGTTGGAATGTACAGTATAAATATGTCAATCATAATAAAGTCTCATCCCACTGTATAGAGAAATTTCATGAAGACCAGAGTTTATTCTTATTTTTTGTTCCCAATGAATATTCATCCTGCCATTTCTGTACAGTTTAGGAGATAATACACTTAATCCAAAAAGACAAAACATACAGCTATTTGACTTTCTGTTTTTTTCTTGCTTGAAACTGCTCTGTTTTGTATTTTACAGATTTAATTAACACTGACAAGGCAGGATCAATGGACTTCTTTTGTGACTCTTTTTGAATTTCACTCTCTTTTTTCTTTATTGCCTGTTGAAGTTCTTGTTCTTTTTGTTCTCTCTGCCGGGCTTTCTCCTCAAGGATTTGTTCCATAGCTTTTGTTTTCTTGAAATTAGGATCTGAAGGATCCAAATTAAACAAGTGGGAAGTATACATTGCCTGAAACCGGGTATCTTTAACATTTACCTGCAAATTGAAAAGGAAAAGACATAAACAATGAAATCAGCAAATCAAAAAGCCCAGAAGTGGGCAAAACTTCAAACCAGCAAGTTGTTCAACGTATAAAATACAAACATGTGCATTTTGCATTGCTTCATTTGAAAATTGTTTTACCAAACATATAACCATAGGTGCAGGGCATATTGTTCATATCACAAAGGACAATTGTGTCAAAAGATAATTTGAGGTCTGTAAAATAGTGATATAGGACATCCTTCTCACTTAAACTGACTGCAACCATGGCTCAGTACGGCAGGCATCCTCATGCTATTTCTAACAAGGATGATTAAGACAGTGATAATATAATCTCTGGCTGGAGTTTTATGTACTGTCACTGCAGATTAAGTAAAATATAAAATTTTTAGTCAAAACTTGTAACTACTAGTAGAAGGTAAAAAGATTTAAGAGTGAGATTAAGATCTGTCAGACACACAGCCTAAATTTACCTTATCTTTATTAAAAAAATGTGTTGGGCCGGAGATAATAGTACAGAGGTTAAGTGCTTGCCTTACATCCCACCAACCCTTGTTTGAACTCCCAGCACCACACATAATCTCCTGGCACTATTGGGGTCCTCCTGAGTAGAGTTAGGGAGAGCCACTGAGCACTGCTGGGTGTGGACCACCCTCTTATCCCTCCTCCTCCTCAAAACAAAAGTGCTGTGGTTCCACACTTAAAAGAACACGACTCACTGTTACCCAGCACTCCCATGAGAAAGATGAGTCCACTGAGAGAGGACAGGCTTTGGCATTACTTTGCTATATATGTAAGAACAGCAGATGTTATACCACCATAAGGCTCATGAGAAATGCTGCATGGTCATTAATGGGAAGACTGTTTTCACAATCTAAAGATCTGAACAAAAACAACAAAGATTTTGACACTGAAGTATCATCTCATGCCAGTGAGAATGACAAACATCAAAATTCTGGGAACATCCAGTGTTAATGGGTGAGAAAAGAATCCTAATCCACGGATGGTGGGAATGCCATTTGGTTCAGCCTCTAGAGAAAGCAATATGGAGATCTTTCAGAAAAATCGAAAGAGAACTCCCGTGTGATTCAACAATACCACTTCTTCGCATCTGCTCTTCAAATACAAAAACATTAATTTGAAAGGATATATGCAGATGGAGTTTTATTGCCATAATTAATACAATATCCAAGATATGGAAAAACCCAAATGCCTACCTACAGATAAATGGGTTAAGAAGTTGTGGTATATAGCACTGTAGCACTGTTCTCCCGTTGTTTATTGATTTGCTCAAGTGGGCACCAGTAACGTCTCACAACAAACTGTAAGACTTGTTACTGTTTTTGGCATATTGAATATGTCACAGAGAGTTTGCCAGGCTTTGCTGTGCGGGCGGGATACTCTCAGTAGTTTGCCAGGATCTCACAGAAGGGCGGAGGAATTGAACCCAGGTTGGCGAAGCCGGCCGCATGCAAGGCAAACACCTTACCCATCTGTGCTATCGCTCAAGCCGTGTTATATATATATATAAGTACATACATATAGGTACACAATGGAATAATATGCATCTCTAAGAAAGAATATCATGCAACTTGCAGCAATGTGGATGGAACTAGAGGACGTCATGCTGAGAAAAGAAGTCAGAAAGAAAGAGACAGATACAGAATGATCTCTCCCATACATCTAAGTTAAAGATACACAGCAAAATGCAAACAAAGGGTCAAAGGCAACGTAATAGGAGAACTGGTCTCCTTAAGAATTATTGTTGCTGGCAGGGTTTAAAAGGGAAGGGCATCCGGGTCCTTGGAAGAGGAAAGTGGTATTGGAATTACGTGCATAAAAACCATCATTAACAGAACTGTAACTTCAGAACCTCAACTACAAAAACAATATGAAGGTTTGACTGCATATTATTCTTTGCTTTTAACTTTACATAAAAAATCCAATTCATTAATAAGTTCAAAGAAACAATGACTTCAAAAACTGGAGCTGTAGAGTGACTTCCAAATTCTTCTATGTTCTACATCAAAGCTATCTGCGTACTCCACTCTGTTCTTTAAAAAAACTCAAACTTCCTCACATGCTTCTCTGGTTCTCTTCTTTCTATGGAAATCAGTGGAAGTAATTACAAGTGATAACTAGTGATAGCTGCAGATTTTCTGTAAATGACTCTAACTCATATACTGAGATTATGGGGCCATTAGGCATATATAATTAGCCAAAAGAGAAAAAAAGTGGGGCAAGCAAGGTATACAAGAAACAAAGCAACTAAAAAGTAATCTACTACATTGACCACTGAACACAGTATGGCAGGATGTGACATTTCTCGGCTAAACTGAGATATTACATCTTTTCCCATGTGACCATCACAATGCATGTGATTCTAACATTAAAAGTTAAACCACTTGAACTGAAAATAGTGGTTTCTAAAGCAAACAGTAATTTGACCCATAATGGGGATGAACTGGGCTAAATTTGACCTGTTATTTTAGCTGCGCTGGACTCAATTACGGAAGCTTTATTTAACGTTGAACCCTCTCCCTAAGCTTATTTCAAGACTGACATTAACTATGCTCTATTTTTTTCAGGTGTTGCTGTGACAGCCGCCAGGGCCCAGAGCTTGCAAGTGGTGGTGGTCATTATGGGTGTCACTGTCACTATCCTCCCGCTGTTCATCGATTTGCTCGAGCGGGCTCAGTAACGTCTCCATTGTGACAACTGTTACTGTGTTTGGCATATCAGATACGTCACGGGGAGCTTGCCAGGCTTTGCTGTGCGGGCGAGATACTCTCTGTAGCTTGCCAGGCTCTCCAAGAGGGGCAGAGGAATCGAACTCGGGTAGGCCATGTTGGTTGCTTGCAAGGCAAACACCCTACTCGCTGTGCTATTGCTCCAGCCCTCTATGGGTGTACCCACCTGAAACACACTTGGTGCTGCTCAGGGATTACACTCTGGGCTCTAAATATGCAAGGCATGTGTCCCGCCAGTTAAGTCAGATTCTTGGCTCCTATATTCATTTTTTTAAAAATCTCCAGAGCCGACTTTAGGTTCAACTTTAGCTTTAAATATCTAATAGCTGGGGCCAGAGAGATAATACAGCAGGTTAGGGCACTTGACAGCAAACAAGTGACCCAGGTTTGATCCACATCATACCATATGGTCCCCTGAGCCGTGCCATGACTGATTCCTGAGCACAGAGCCAGGAGTAAGCTCTAAGCACTGTCAGATGTGGACTCCCAAAGCAGAAACAAAAAAGCAAGAGTTTAATGAATTTTATCCCTGGTTACCTCAAAATCATCTTGTATTAATTCCTTCTTTTTTATGAGCCGTTTTTTCTTCTTTTTGCTAAGATTCTGGTGCTCTACAATTTTGTTGTAATTGAAGTGTTTCTTGTTCTCCTCCTCCTCATCCATCAGGAGCAAAGCTATTTCAGCCTATAAAGAGAAAAGTCACAATGGAATATTATGTAGTTGTTAGGAAAAGTCATGAAATTCACATAAATGGATAGACATGGAAAGTATCATGCTGAGTGAATTGAGTCAGAAGGAGAAGGACATTTGTGGAATATTAAGAAAAACACATATTATGAAACTAATACCCAAGGACAGTAGAAGCATGGGCCAGGAAGATTGTCCACGGGTGGAAGGCTGCGTTAGATGCTAGAGGAAAAGGCAGCTGGGATAGAGAGGGGACCACTATAACAGAAATAATATCTTCCACTACAACAGTTAGAAATGGTCACTCGGGATTGCTGGCTGAAAACAGGTAAGAGAACAAACATGATAACCTCTCAGTACCTATAATGTAAAGCATAATGCCCAAAAGGAGAGAAAGAAGAAATGTTCTTGCCATAAAGCAAGCAGGGTGGTGGGAGCAAAACTGGGGACAATGGTGGTAGGAAATGGACACAGGTGGAAGGATGGGTGTTGGAACACTGTATGACTGAAACTTGATCACGAACAGCTTCCTAACTGTGTACCTGACGGTGATTCAATTAAAAATGTTTTTAAAAAAGAGAAAAAAAATAAGCTCACATTTATAACAGGCCACGCCACTCCCTACCCACCCCGTCCAATCCAAACAGGAGGGACAAATATTCTCTTTAAGAAAGGAGAACCACACATATGCTTATACAAAGAGAGAGAGAGAGAGAGAGAGAGAGAGAGAGAGAGAGAGAGAGAGAGAGAGAGAGAGAGAAAGAGAGAGAAAGAGAGAGAGAGAGAGAGAGAGAGAGAGAGAGAGAGAGGGGAGAGAGAGAGAGAGAAAGAAAACGAGAACCCAGTTACTAATGTAACGCTAAATGGGATAACCTATTATATGTAAATTGATTGTGTTACTGAAAACTTATGAATCTAAGAGATCCTTGTAGAGTAATAAGGTAAAAAAAAATTCTGAAGCAGAAGAGGGGTGCAAGTCTGTATCGAAAGAAAAAAAAAAGACCACATTGCACTTGGTGCAACTAACTCAAGCTGCAGGACACTGCCTCCAAGTCTTGGAGAAATGTTCCATTTTCACTTTGGCTTTTAAAAAAGCAATGACACTAAGTACAGCAAATCTGGAGGGGAATGCGGAGCACATACAGTGGCGCTCAGGTGCTTCTTCTAGCTTGGTGCTTAGAGATTGCTCTGGGATGTACTTGGGGGTCCACGTTGCTGAGTATTTTCTGGCCCCGTGTAGTATTTTTGCAATATAAACTAAAATCATCAAATACAAAATGAACCACAAGGAATTTTTTCCCTTTCTTTCTTCTGTCTTCTGTCTCAATAGTGGCACAAGTCTATTAAAACAGAATTTCAATTTTGCTTTTGATTCTTAAAATGATGGTTGTTTCCCACTAGTTATTTTCAACTGATCCTGAGATTGAATGCAAACCCTTAAGAATCAAATAAACACCTCTTTTTAAAATATAATTTATTTAGCCAGTCACAGATTGAAGGACATTGATATTATTTTGCCACTACATACCATGTTTAGGTTCATATCCTGGAACTCTTGTTCATTTGTTTTGTGGTGCTGCGGATCAAAACTCAGGCCTTGTGAATGCAAAAAATGCACTTTATGCTAAGCTATATTCCTGACCCCTAGCATTATTTTTGAAACCATTTTTTTCCACAAAACAAGGATTTTCTTTGTGTTCTTTAACTTTACAAGCACTGCTATACTTGCAATTAAAGGCGATCAGAAAATATACCATCAGAAAGAGCTGGGTGATCATGTCAGACAAAAAGTGAGGGTTAAAGAGACATCTCTGGCTCTAGTATTTTTCTCAGAAAATACACTGTTACTCTGTGTAACAAATCTTAGGAGTCAATGAAGTATAAAGCCCAGTTGTACTTCCAAGAAAAGCTTTAATATTGTTACTTTAAAACTTCATTTGTAATAATAAAGAGAAATTAGCATCTGACAAGCCACAAAAGCCAAGTCTGTATTATAGAAAACATTCTCACTGAATTAAAACATATGGCAATACTATTTTGAGGTATTAGTAGTAGTATTTTCAGTCTCAATTATACTAAGTTTTAAATAATGACATATTTCCTTCAATCTCAAAGGGACACATCTTAGGTTTGAAGCAAATTTTAGTTTCATATTAGTTGGAGATGTTTGGTAAAAAAGGTGATATTTAAAAGCAACACTGCTGAAAACTCAATTATATTTCATAATTTGTATATTTCATACTAAGACAAGTTTTTTCTTTTCCAAACACAGGGGCAATATGAGTCAGATAGACCTCAATGGGATTGACCATTTACTTTGCATATGGGAGCCCCTGGTTTGACCCGTGGCACCACATAGGTCCCTTAGCACTGCCAGGAGTGACTGTCAAACTGAGCCAGGAGTAGACCCTGAGCTTTTGTGTGTGGCCCCCAAAACAATAAATAAATCAGGGCAATAGAAACCTATGTAGATACTTCACTTACACTGTGCACCCCAATTATCTGAGAAGTACTTAAAATGATTATGCTTTACCTTCTGTCTTTCTACTTCTGCTTCCTCTACTGGACAGGTGCCATCTTTTGCAGATTTCAAATTTTTCTTTATACCTGGGTATAACAAACCATCAGAGGAAGGTCAAAACTTACATTAAAAAAGTCAAAGGTCATTTCAATCAATGTATGGCAAACCTTTGATAAAATCTAATATTCATTCATGATAAAAATATTTACTCAATACAATCTCAAAATTCAATTCAAGGCATTCTTTATAAAGATCAAAACATAAACTTGATGATATGGTTACTAAAGTGTACCATACAAAGTAAAAATAGCCAAGATATTTCATACTGTACTCAATGAAGAAAACAGCAGTATGGCTTAGGATATAATAATAAAAAAAAAGCACATATGTATCATTGGGGAAAAAAAGGTTTAGGGGATAAGAGTCAGGAATGAGTATCTTCCACAGGGGCTCTGGGTTTGATCCCAGGCACAGAAAGAAAAGAGTGTTGCTAGGCAATTGGTTTTAAGTGTAGGAGGCAGGGGAAGAGGAGAAAAAAAAAGTCCTCCATTCACAAAGTACAGGAGAATAAACATTAGGAAAGAAAAAAGTACTAAGAGAAAATATAGAGTGTTACTACCTGGTCTCAAACAGAAGATATAATTCCGTAGCCTCTTATAACTCTCCTCTCAAACAGAAGATATAATTCCGTAGTGTAAAAACAAAGAATCACACACACACACACACACACACACACACACACACACACACACACACACACACACACACATCCATCCACCCATTCACTTCCAAGTTATCTGAATCTCATAGTCTCTTAAAACTCTCCTCTAGGGTGCAGGAGGTAGCAGCGCTGTTAGTATGCATGCCTCACCAAGTGCAGGGCCTGCCTGGGTTTGATTCCCACTACTGCACGATCTCCTGAGTATTGCTGGACATAGCTTAGGAGGCCCCCAAGTGCCTCCAGGGTGACCCATGTAATTCACAGCACCACAAGGCAGACGCAGCACTAGCATCCTTGGGGTGGCCATGGGCACCCTGAAACAAATAAAACCACTCTGCATGCTGGGCTGCTCTTCAGGCGTACAGCACTTGCTCTGCATGTGTGATGCCCTGCGTTTGATCCTGGGCATTACAAAAACAAAACTCTCTTTAAAAACAAGCTTATTTATAAAATGCAAAATTCATCTTTATAATGATAATAATTTAACAGAAGATGAAAGACCAATTTGATACTGGATTAACTGTCTAGTTCTATCATCAATTAAAACTGTTTATGATAAAAATGATGTTTCTGGGGCTAAGGAGAAACTCCTTAGTACTGAAGCATATGCTGTACGTGTGGGAACCCCGGGACTAATTCTTGGTGACCTCCAAACACCAAGCTGAGACTCTCCCCTGAACACTGCCGTGAACAATGTCATATTATATTCTTTTGCCATTAGACATCAAACTCCCTGTGACAAGCCTTCCCATTCAAAATGCATTTCTAGGCCATATTGACAGCATTCAGCCAAAGAGAAGAACAACATGGAGGGCGGGATCCACAGATCCCGAAGGAAAAAAAAAAAAAAAACAGGTTCCAAAAAGAGCCGAGATCATCGGGAAGCCCCAGATGGGGTAGGTACCGCATCCCGCCTCCCCCAGATGGAACCCCGGTGACCAGAAGCCTCTACAACCACAGCTCGAGTATCCGGGAACTTGGACTTTTCCTCAAATCTGCCGGGACTGCAACTCCCAGGTAACCTCAGATTCCGGAAGTCACGCCCACAGCCCGCCCCCCAGCGCCATATTGACAGCATTCAGCCGAAGAGAAGAACAACATGGAGGGCGGGATCCACAGATCCCGAAGGAGAAAAAAAAAAAAAAACAGGTTCCAAAAAGAGCCGAGATCATCAGGAAGCCCCAGATGGGGTAGGTACTGCATCCCGCCTCCCCCAGATGGAACCCCGGTGACCAGAAGCCTCTACAACCACAGCTCGAGTATGCGGGAACTTGGACTTTTCCTCAAAACTGCGCGGCTGCTCATGCGGCCGACGCGACATCTCTCTATACACAAAGTGATCCATGGGAAGTAAATGACCCAACGTTTCTCTCTGAAAATCATAGTTAAGTTTGGAGCACGGCCACGGCCCCAGAAGCACAAGGACTTAATGCAGAACCAGCAGCTTGGAGCAGAAAAGTGAAAGGACTATGCGTTAATCCAGGCCATCATGTCTGCCCGGAGGGGAAAGGGTGTTGGTCCCTTCCGCCCTCCTCCCTCTGGAAAGAAAGATGGCGGCCACATGGGAGCCTTGTGGACAGCAGGTATGAGCCGGGGGTGTGGGGGCAACTAAAACCTCATGGGAAGGGGGGTGTCCCGGTCCGTCCTTCACGCCCTACCGAGGTCACCAGTTGCCCCCCACGAGCGGCTCTCCAGCACGGCCACGGCCCCAGAAGCACAAGGACTTAATGCAGAACCCGGCAGCTTGGAGCAGAAAAGTGAACGGACTATGCGTTAATCCAGGCCATCAAGTCTGCCGGAGGAGAAAGGGTGTTGCCCCATTCGCCCTCTCTTCTCTGGAAAGAAGGATGGCGGCTGCATGGGAGCCTTGTGGGCAGCAGGTATGAGCCGGGGGAGTGGGGGCGACTAAAACCTCATGGGAAGGGGGGCGTTCAGGTCCATCCTTCACGCCCTACCGAGGTCACCAGTTGCCCCCCACGAGCGGCTCTCCAGCACGGCCACAGCCCCAGAAGCACAAGGACTTAATGCAGAACCTGACAGCTTGGAGCAGAAAAGTGAACGGACTATGCGTTAATCCAGGCCATCAGGTCTGTCCGGAGGGGAAAGGGTGTTGCCCCAGTTGCCTTCTCCTCTCTGGAAAGAAAGATGGCGGCCGCATGGGAGCCTTGTGGACAGCAGGTATGAGCCGGGGGAGTGGGGGTGACTAAAACCTCATGGGAAGGGGGGCGTTCCAGTCCGTCCGTCACGCCCTACCGAGGTCACCAGTTGCCCCCCACGAGCGGCTCTCCAGCACGGCCACAGCCCCAGAAGCACAAGGACTTAATGCAGAACCCAGCAGCTTGGAGCAGAAAAGTGAAAGGACTATGCATTAATCCAGGTCATCATGTCTGCCCGGAGGGGAAAGGGTGTTGGTCCCTTCCGCCCTCCTCCCTCTGGAAAGAAAGATGGCGGCCACATGGGAGCCTTGTGGACAGCAGGTATGAGCCGGGGGTGTGGGGGCGACTAAAACCTCATGGGAAGGGGGGTGTCCCGGTCCGTCCTTCACGCCCTACCGAGGTCACCAGTTGCCCCCCGCGAGCGGCTCTCCAGCACGGCCACGGCCCCAGAAGCACAAGGACTTAATGCAGAACCCGGCAGCTTGGAGCAGAAAAGTGAACGGACTATGCGTTAATCCAGGCCATCAGGTCTGTCCGGAGGGGAAAGGGTGTTGCCCCAGTCGCCTTCTCCTCTCTGGAAAGAAAGTTGGCGGCCGCATGGGAGCCTTGTGGACAGCAGGTATGAACCGGGGATGTGGGGGCAACTAAAACCTCATGGGAAGGGGGGCGTTCCGGTCCGTCCTTCACGCCCTACCGAGGTCACCAGTTGCCCCCCGCGAGCGGCTCTCCAGCATGGCCACGGCCCCAGAAGCACAAGGACTTAATGCAGAACCCGGCAGCTTGGAGCAGAAAAGTGAATGGACTATGCGTTAATCCAGGCCATCAGGTCTGTCTGGAGGGGAAAGGGTGTTGCCCCAGTCGCCTTCTCCTCTCTGGAAAGAAAGATGGCGGCCGCATGGGAGCCTTGTGGACAGCAGGTATGAGCCGGGGGAGTGGGGGCGACTAAAACCTCATGGGGAGGGGGGCGTTTTGGTCCGCCCTTCACGCCCTACCGAGGCCACCAGTTGCCCCCCACTAGCGGCTCTCCAGCACGGCCACGACTCCAGAGCACAGAAACCAATTTCTTAACTATCTGACTTTCAGTAGAAATACTTCCAGGGTCAATAAGTAAAATAGCAGAAATCCAAAACCAACATATAATTCTTGAACCCAGCTGTAGACAGCAAATCACTTCGCAATGCTTTGTCAGCATGTCTGACTTGGGGGGGGTTGGTAAACTCTAAATAATAGTGGTGAATCTTTTATTGAAACAATGAATCTAATCAAAGCAGATAGAGTGTTAACTAGAATTCATCTGCCCCACAGGGACTGGGAGGGGTGGGGGGGTGGGGTTTTATTGGGGTTCTTCATGGTAAAAAATAAGTTTTGGTAAAGGGAAATGTGCTTGATATTTGCATGACTGAGACCTAAACCTGAAAGCTTTGTAACCTTTCCCATGGTGATTCAATAAAAAAACAAAAAAAACAAAAAAAACCAAAAAACCAAAAAAACAATAACCTTTAAAGGACAGATAAATTAATGAACACTCAAAAAAAAAAAAAACAAAACAAAATGCATTTCTATTGGGACAATGTAAGTAAAATTTACCATATATGATAGCTTATACAATATATGAAAATTATATGCACATTATATGATAGTTGAAGAACCTTGGCAAAGTAGGGAATGATAATAAAAGCAAAAACTCTAAATCCTGAAGAGATTTGAAAAAAATGTTGTATACATACTCAGTATAGCCCAGCTGAGGGAACTCAATGAAACTGCAGACAGAGCGCAGAACAGGGTCAGTGGGAGAGTGCATGTCTAGCCTCTGAGGCCCTGGGTCTCCCCCTGGTACTGCCCCAGATGGTTGGTGTAATGCCCAGCACCACCATACAATAGTAAAAAAGTGCTTTTTCCTCTACCAAGGAAAATATTGTCTGCAGCCTTTCCCCAAATCTGAAAATATATTGCTCATATGTCAATTTTCTCCCAGGGAATTTTTTCTTTTTAAATTTTTATACACCATGAGGTACAGTTGTAGACTTAAAAATTTTTGTGCTTGGGCCATAACACCAGACACACAGAAACCAATCTCGTAATTATCTGGTTCTTTGCAGAAATCCAAAATCGTGGCCGCGTGACATATGATTCTCATAACCAGCTATAGAAAACAAAATATTTCACAATGCCTTTTCAGCAATTCTGATTGTTTGGGGGGAAATTCTAAACAATAATGGTGCATCTTTTATCGAAATAATGAATGTAATCAATGTAGAGAAGAGTTAAGTAGAAATCATCTGCCTCACAGGCATTTGGAGGGGTGGGAGGGAGGGTATACTGGGGTTTTTGGGGGTGAAAAATGAGTACTGGTGAAGGGAAAGGTGTTTGATCATTGTATGACCGAGACTTAAACCTGAAAGCTTAGTAACTTTTCCCATAGTGATTCAATAAATAAATATAAAAATAAAAAAAATTTAAAAAAATGTTTGTGCTTGGGTTTCAGTTATACAATGATTGAGTACCCATCCCTCCACCAGTGCCCATTCTCTACCACCACTGATCCCAGTATCCCTCCCACCCCCCCCCCATCCCCGCCCCTGTGGCAGGGCATTCCCTTTTGTTCTCTAATGTTTTATCGATTTAAAGATTAAAACTTCTCGGGGCTGGAGCAATAGTACAGTGGGGAGGGCGTTTGCCTTGCATGCAGCTGACCCGGGTTCAATTCCCAGCATCCCATATGGTCTCCCAGCACTATCAGGAGTACTTCCTGAGTGCAAAGCCAGGAGTAACCCTTGTGCATCAGCAGGTGTGACCCCAAAACAGGAAAAAAAAAGGTCAAAACTTCTCTTTTAAAATGTATGCATACAAATAACACACACTGACATTCACTTCCTTAGGGTTTGATTCTCACACATTAAGGCTACCTCTACTACTATACTCTCAAGGCAAGAACCCCTTTTGGAGCACATGAACAAGTAACATACTCAAAATTACTCTGTAGCAGGGGGAAAAAAATCAGACTGCATATGACTAATATATAAAGGAGATAAAGATCTTTGCATACAGCTGCGAGAAATAATTTCAAAGAGCCCACAACAAACTGCTCTGGATTTTATAACAACCTGGTGAAAAGTCATAAAAATAAACTTGAAAGGAAGAGTGCAGCAAGGGAAGGAAACAAGTGTCCAAGATGGTTTGGGCTAAAAATGATATCCCATTAGCATGATGAGTACTAGGGAAATGCAAGTGTCTGTTCTGAAACGTTATCTTTATTTCTCTGTCAATCTTTTCACAAGCAAGAAACTGTACCTCCTTGGACTGCTGCAAAAAAAGCCATATGGATTGGCTCTAGTAAGTTGAATATTAACAGATTCAAAATCAGATGCTAGAATTCTATAGTTTCAAAAAAGGAATGTAAACAATCCTTACTGAAGGCTGTAAGCATAAAATATATCTCTGGAAAGAACACGTGACAAACAACCTGTGTGCTAAAAGAATATCCATAAAGGAATTTCTATCTTCCATTACTTATAATGATAAAGAAACTTCTTCAGAGAAGAAGCCTGACCTCATGCCAAATTCTACCTCAGTCCACGCTCAACCACACTGGTACCTTTCAACTTCACTTGGTCTCCTCAGAGCTTTTCTACCCACTCTCTCTCTTATTTACAATGTTTTTAACTAGCTCATTACAGTTGACTACTCATTCTACAGATCTTGGTTCACCAATGGCACCAACTCAGAGGAATTTTCCTTGCCTATCTTATGTAAAATAAGCTATCTTCTTTTGCCTCCTGGTTATACTGTCTATATTACCCTACTTTATTCTATACAGTGCTGGTTGTATTTTTATGAAACTTTTTGTTTACCTGGTTGGCATGACTTCCTAAAAAAGATTCAGGGAATTTAACTTTGCTTGTAGTATTACTGCTTTGTCTCTTGCCCAGCAGTATGGGCCAGCACCCACTAAAAATTCAAAATTACTTACTAATTGAATTAGAATAAACATACATGGCAAATATAATTTGGGGCTTGGGGTCCTAAATTTTATGTAAAAAAATTTCAGCCTTTCTCTTTCACCTTTTCCTTTAGAAACACAATGCCAGCCCAGAAATAATTACTCCCAGAACTATTTCAATAAATATACTTTCCCAAACAATACTGGAAACAAGGAAATTTTATGTATACTTTCTCCTTGGAATTATTCTAATAATAAAGTAGGAGAAAACTTACTCATAATTTAAATGTGCCTATTCAAAGAAACAACTTACCCCAAATTTATCTAATCATTAAGCTTTCTGACTATTACTTTGAGCTTTGTACTCTAACCAGATTTTACAGGCCAAGTAAAGCACTTTGGAAAGAGAAAAAAGAAACCACAATGCTTCGCATTTCTCCATCATAAGTGTGGCTTCCTGAAATCAGAGGATAAAGCTAAAAATCTATTATCTTCTAGAAATGAACACTCAGGTATGATAAAAAAAACCCAGAATGTTATTTCCATTCTCCTTTCCAATTCCTAAGAATCTCACAACCTATAATAGACTTTATTCATCTTGATCTTCTTTTCATCAATAAAATGTCAGTGCTAAAAGACTGTAACAACCAGGAAGTAATTTTGAGCAATTTTCACTTTCCTGTTGGGAACTATTCTGGCCCACTAGTCATGAGGGACAAGAAGCAGGGAAACTTCATAAAACCTTTCTTTTTACAATGCCAGCTTGGGGTTGCTCCAGGAATAAGTCTTTGGGGGCTCATGTGTGTGGTATTCTGATCAGGGAAGGCAAAATGCACAAGAACAAATGAAAAATGTTTACTATGGTCTCTGGACTGACTTGCCCAATTCTACTCTGAAGATTACTGTACACATTTACACATACCAAATAGGTAAGAATGAAAGTATTCAAGAAAGATTGAGTGATACATATATAAAGGAAACAAGACTCTGAAAATACAGGCAATTGGACACCAGATCATTTAAGTACTCAAGGGAAAAACGCCGGTTTTTGGCTGTAAGCAAATGCAAAAGGGATAAAAGACACACATGCCTTCCAGTATCTTACCCTGGTCCAGAGTGACAACTTCCCTCTACCACTGTCATAGTGGTCCCTTCTTCGTCCCCCTCCAGTGTCAAGCTTATTATATATTCCCCTACTGTACTTTTTTATATCCTACAACTGAATGAGAACAACCTGTGTCTGACTGTCTCCCTCTGACTCATTTCACTCAGTACTCTTCAGATTCATTGATGTGACAGCAAATTACATGACTTCCTCTTTGATATTGTGCATATGTACCGCCTCTTTCTCTTATATTATTTATTTTTTGGTTTCAGGGCAATACCCGGCCGTATTCAGGTGTTACTTCTGGCAGTGCTTGGGGAACCATATGGGATGCTGAGGATCGAACCCAGGTTGGCCATATACAAGGCAAACGCCCCATGTGCTGTACTATTTTTCCAACACACCACTGCTTCTTTATCCAATCACCTTTCATGGCACCTAGGTTGTTTTCAGATATTGCAGAAGCAGGCTGGGGAGAGGCGGGACAGGCAGGGAGGAAAACTGGGGACCCTGATGGAGGGAGGTATATACCAGGGTTGGAACACTGTATGTCTTAAACTCAATCATGAATACCTTCATGATTCATAAGGATTTAATTAAAATTTTTTAACGGTCTCAACAGCCCCGCGCCCCAAAATCAGGTGCCTTTGTATATTTGAACAAGAAAACTTTCATATTGAACATCATATACTAATTTTAAGAGACTTACAGTAGGTGTGTTATAAAGAAAACCTACCTCTCTGGAAAGAAAGATGGCGGCCGCACGGGAGCCTTGTGGACAGCAGGTTTGAGCTGGGGATGGGGGCGGCAGGGACCTCATGGGAAGGGGGGCGTAATGGGCCGTCCTTCACGCCCGACCGAGGTCGCCAGCTGCCCCCCACCCCCCCAGCGGCTCTCCAGCATGGCCACGACTCCAGAGCACAGAAACCAATCTCTTAACTATATAACTTTTAATAGAAATTCTTCCAGGGTTAATAAGTAAAATAGCAGAAATCCAAAACATCATTTTATTCTTAAACCAAGTTGTAGAAAGCAAATCATTTCACAACGCTGTTTCAGCATGTCTGATTGGGGGGCGGGTCGTAAACTCTAAACAATAATTGTGCATCTTCTATCGAAACAATGTATCTAGTCAAAGTAGATAGAGTATTAACTAGAACTCATCTGCCTCACAGGAATTGGGAGGGGTGGGAGGTGGGGTTCTATTGGGGTTCGCGGTTAAAAATAAGTATTGGTAAAGGGAAATGTGTCTGATATTTACATGACTGAGACTTAAACCCGAAAGCTCTGTAACTTTTCCCACAGTGATTCAATAAAGAAATAAATTATAAAAAAAAAAAAAAGAAAACCTAAAGAAAATGCAAGGAAACAAAGACATAACCATTTCTTTTTCTTTCATCCTTTCACAGTCAATCATCAATAAGGATTTTTCCTAAATAGAAATCATGTTACAAAACACTCCCCACAATAAAATCATTCCCTGGATGTATTAAGGTATGTGCTAACTCTTTCTAATAACCGGTGATCATATTCCACAGTATAGACCTACCCTTATAGAAACATCCAAAGGAACTGTACTAATTCTTGGAATTTTAAATGAATGTCATATATATTTTTATCCATGTTAACCTATTTTTACGTAGCAACCAAAACTACCAATATGCTTACCTATTTTTTTAACTTCTTCAGCGAAGTATGGGTCATTCATATCAACATCAGAAGGAAGTTCATCTTCACTGGCCTCTTCAGCAAGAGCCTTAACATTGAATGCAAGATCAGTTTATTTCAATGACTATATGAAGAGAAACCTATCATTTTTTCTAATTCAAATAGTGCAATCTAACAAGTTTTCAAAAATGGAATTTATTTATAAAATAACTCTCGGGGCTGAACTCTAAGCTGAGTTAATTTTTTCAACAAATATTAAGTAAAACATTCAAGAAAAGATAGGGCCTTGGGAGAAACGAAATTTAGATATCTGGCTCTGTCTTAATTTGTAACTAATAGAGGAAGTGAGACACATACAGGGCAGATATACTCATGCAATGAAGAGATGTTAACTTCATGTCACAAAATTGTGGGCTACCTTTTAAGTTATTATTTAAAAATTTATTTACTAGTTAAGGAAATATTTTTATTGTGAAAATTTCACATTATGAAAATACCAAGAACAGCATAAGGAACTCCCTGTTTATCCAATTCTAATAATATTTTATTTATAGTCCACCCCTTAAAATTCTTGAGTTATTTTTAAGCAAATCTGTTAATATTCTAAAGAACAAAAGTTGCTACGGTTTTTTTCACCTTACCATTATTAACACATCCAACAGTAGCATGTTTAACTAAGAATACAGTTCACGTCCCCTGCTCCCCCCAGTATACAGGTCCTCCACATCCTGAGTTCCTTATGCCAAGATTCAAACTGTAGTTGTGGCTATACAGAGCGCTGACTGTAACAGATCAGGGCACCTGTAGATTTTGGTGTTCACAGAAGTGTTCTGAGGCCAATACACTCAGACATCAAAGGACCATTGTAACTGAGTTTAGGAAAGTCATTCTCAAATGAGAGGGGAGCAGAGCCTTTTGTCCCCATGCTGTTCAAATATCAATTGAATTTATTTCTGAACATGCAAATATAGATGCACACATATTTAATTCCTTTTTTTTTTTTTTTGCGGGGGAGGGGGGAGAGGGCAAAATGATGGTGATCAGACTGGGTTTAGCCATGTGAAAAACAAATGCTTAACAACCCAGTACTATCTTTCCTATCTTTAATTGCTTTTTTAGATCTAAATTACAGCTAAAGCAACATAAACACATAAAGCACATAAACACATTCATTTCTTCCACAATAATTTTTTGGTATAAAAACAGAAGTCAAGGATAGGAAAAGGGGAAAGATGTATTTAACTTGAAGAAAATCTCCAGACTTTTCTATATATAGAAAACTGTGGAATTGGAATTGAATGGGATCTACTAAAATCTACCAAATATAAGCCATAAGTCCTAGAACAAACTAGACACCCACCAAATGTATTTTCAGTATTATTGATGCATTTTATCATTCCAATGAAGGGAATGAAAAAAGAAAATAAAGAATATCTGCTAAAGTTCTCAAAACTATGTAACAATTTAACTGTACCCCCAGAAGGACCCTCTTGTTTTTCAACAAACTAAAGGATTTTTAGTGGAATTATTTCATTTAAGAGGTTATTTACTGCATAGCTTTGGGAAGTTTTATTGCTTTTTTATAGTTTATCATAACTTGCAACAGATATTAAAAGAACCATGCAATAGTAAAAATTCACATTGGGAAATTAAGATAGCAAAAAATGTGTAAAAAAAATTCCAGCAAAAATTTTCTCTATATACATATTTGCAAGTAAAATGTGCACATGTACCTTCCTAAAAAATACAAACGAAAGTATCAAAATATTTTATATCTATATATCAGCTAAGTAATGTATTTTATATTAAGGCAGCAGGCATTTGTGAAATATTAGAGCACAATGAATGGTTAAAATGGCTCTGGGCTCTTATCAGGCCTTCAGCATCACTTTACAGCCTTGTAAAATGCAAAGAGTTCTATCTTTCCTCTATCTTATAACTGTGATGATCACAAGGCCTCCAGTAAATCAATACGTTGTGTGATAATGGATACCAAGCACCTAGTACCACCTACTAATGGTTATCCTTCTGTAATAAATGCTTGGGAGTGTCACTGATACCTTCTGTTTCTTTTTCAGTCTTTTTTTCTCTTTCTTCTTCTCTAAAAATTGTTCCCAAGGGGTGAGTTTATCCTTTCCTTCCAATTTGTTTTTAACCATCTCTTCTGCACTTTCTTTGAGACCTGAGGAAAAAGCAGAAATAGTTATGCTTAAAAATATTTTTATTCACTTAAAAAAAAAAGAGTATAACAAGAAGAAGATAATCCCTTTTGAAAACATTGACCTTAAGTACTGTGTGAGCCTGATCTTCTACTTCATACAGTTTAGTTTTTCAATGCTCAATTTCTCTTAGATTTCTGTTATACTTCTTCTCTCAAATTCTTTGTTTTTTTTCTTCCCCTTTTTTAAGGCGGGGGCGCTGGTGGTGGTGGGAGATAGGTGGGAGGGACAACACCTGGCAGTGTTCAAGCTCTGCTTCAGCGCGTGGGGACAAGCAGTATGGAGGATTGAGCCTGGGGCTGCAGCTGCTGAACCGTCTCTCTAGTCCTGTTCCTTATTTTCTGCAGTTCCTGATTCATGTATGTATTATGCAAACCATCTAAGTGGGCCAGGAAGATAGGGGCCAGAGGGAGCGCAAAGGCATGGAATACAGGCCATGCATGCTCAAGCTCGGGACCTGAGTTTTACTTGCAGTATGATATGTCCCCCCATTCCTCACCCCCAACCCATACACCTGGGCAGTTCTAAGGACTCTCAGCAATGTATGACCAATGCACAGCACCTGTCAGGTACGCAATGCGGCTCAAGAATGATCAGAAGTAGCCCCTGAGGCCCTCTAGCATCTCTGGGGAGCCTCCATCTTCCCGAAAATCCACAAAAATGAACAAAATGATTAAAATGGCAGGGCAGAGGATATGGTTTGGTGGTAGAGCACAAACTCAGCAGGTGACTCCTTGAGTGTGACCATGTACATCACAAAACAAACCAAATTAAACCAAAACTACTCCAAATACTCGAGAGACATGGATAATGCATATGATCTTCCCAGATTCAGTGTAAGTTCTAAGAGAATGTTAACAACTCTAACAGATCTTAGACCTAAAGCTAATACTTCACCACATCAGTTTCAGTGGTGTCTTTGGAGTTATTATCAACAAAGAAAACAAAAGCAAAATAAAATGGGTGCTAGGGAGATGGCTCAAGTGACAAGAGTACACTGAGGTGTGGTGCTGTGAGTCTGACTTCTAGCACCACATGCTCCTTTAGTCCCACCAGGCCCAAGCAGCTCTGCACTGCCCAGAATGGCTTTGGCTATCTCCATGGCTTTGGGGGAGCCACATACCCCCTTCAGTTCTGGTGAGTGAGCCCCATATTAAAAAAATGCAAACAAAAAAGGGACTAATAGGTGGGAGAGATAGTACAGGAGGTGAGGCACTTTCTTGCACTTGACTGACTCTGGTTCAATTCCTAATATCATATATGATCTATCAATTACAAACAGGAGTGACTCCTAAGCATAGTGCTAGTAGGAGCCCCTGAACACCCATGGGAGTGACCCCAAACTAGTTCCCAAACTGATTAACCAAACTTCTATACAGTGAAAGAAACTACCATTAAAACAAAACACAAACACACACACACACACACACACACACAGATAGCCTGCTGAATAGATATTTGTATCCCATACATATGACAAAGAGTAAATATTCACAATATATAAAGAATTTACAAAATTCAGCAGTGATCCCATCAAAAGAGAACAGCTGAAGACTCTTCAAAGACAGATGGCAAACAGACACAATAAAAAATGCTCACTATCATTAGTAGGGAAATGCAAATCAGAATGACAATGAGATGTTGCACCTCATAACTGAGAATGAGCTGTATCAGAAAAACAGTGCTGAGTGGGGTGTGGAGGAAAAACAACCTTCATTAGCTGTTCATGTGTCTGTAAACTGATCCAGTACTGCAGAACATAGTATGGAGATGATCTGAAAATATTAAAAATGGAGCTACCATCAGATAAAACAATTTCACTCGTACAAAACTACCAAAAAACCACAAATCACTAAACTAAAAAGACATATGCAAATCTATGTTTATTGTAGTGCTATTCATAATAGCCTGTAAAAGATTTGGAAAGAATCCAATACTCAATGAAAGACAAGTGAATAAAGAATTATGGTTGGAATAAGATGGAATACTACCTAGAGATTAGAAAAGATGAAAGCTTTGCTTTTGATATGCAGATGGAAGTAGAGTGAGTTATGTTAAGCTAAATCAACCAGAAGGAGAGACAAATACCAGATGATCTCAATTATGTGTTATATACATAGACAAAGCAAGGGATGGAAAAAATATCCAACGAAAACAAGCCCTCAGACTGACCACAGAACTGAGGTTACTAACTGATGGGGTAGCAAAAGAATACTGGTACTTGGTGATAGGTGTGGTTAAATAATAATAACTCAGGTAAACCAGTATTTTCTCAAAATACACAAATACGAATAGCCACTGCCCAGAAAAAAGAAATATCATAGCAATATAACTCCCCTTTTTTCCTAATGACTACATCAAGGCTTAGAATGGTCACCAGCTTGTCAAAGAACAAGAAGCCTGAAAGCTGCACAACTGAAATGCTGAAATGTTAATCATTATTCCCTTCCTTCTCTCCCCCTGAGCGATACTAGAGGCAAAGATGCTTGACTTATATATGGCTGACTCTGATTTAATCCCTGGCACCATATATAGTCCCCCCATCCCCAGCACTGCCAGGAGTAATCTCTGAGCACAGTCAGCTATAGCCTCCAAGCAAAATTAATACATAAAATAAAAAATGTGCTTTGACCTAGAATGAAGAAATGTACAATCATTGAATAAAATCTAAAGCCTTGAGCCTCATGTTCCTTATAAAAAAAAAAAAAAGAGGCCTGCCTAGATTAGAAGCATGCAATTTGCCCACCCCACATATATATATTCCACTTCCCACCCCCCAGAAAATATTTGGTACAAGTCCAAATATATAAAACAACTAAAGGCTGTGCTTTTGGTATTGAATCCCCAAAAGTAGTATAGAACAGCTGGAATAGATGATCTCTAAGGTACATTTTTGGCTTTTAAAACAAGACTTAATCTCCAAATTTCTGTGACCTAGGAAAGCATTAAATTATATGCATATTCAAGGTTACGTTGATTTGTTTTCATGTCATACTGCTGTAGGATCTTTGATTTACTATATTCCAAATCAGAAACATAACTTCAATTAAAAAATGTTTCTTATAAGAAAAACATAATTTACTAAACATTTCTAGGAGAAATGTGGACTGTATAAATTCATGGTCAGATCTCTTACTAAAGTAATAGATATACCACACCTAGAGAGTGAAAGATAATATCCTCATTTGAAAGAAAGCAAATCCTGAAAAAAATAAGTTAATTTCAAATAACAAAGCAAAACAATTTAGACATTATGCCTTCGAGTCAAGCACTAATCAGTTCAGTCTCAAATTCTCAATGCACAGTATTGCAATATTAGACATGCTATTTAAGGTATTCTACTGTCGTTTTCTAATAAGGATTTTATTACTTCAAAGTATAGAATTAGGTAATATAATTAGAGCTCCTCATAATACCAAAATGTATTCTCCAGTTTAAAAAAAAAATACTGTGGAAGCCATTCCCTATAGTGCTGGGGCATACAATATAGGCACTGGAAAGTCCCCCAATCCTCCAACCCATCTCCTCTGCATCTGTCCTAGAGATCAAACCTTGGGCTTGATTTATTCTGATGCTTGAAACTTAAACTGTGCAGCACAATACTAGTTCAGCACAATACTCCAAGGAAAGTTCTCTGTTATGATCTCTTTTACACTACTAGAGTATTTAGATGTTCCCAGTATTAACTTTTAGTCTATTGGTCTTGACCACTTTGGGAAACACTGGTATCTGAGAAAGACTTTAGAATCTTTCCCTACAACACTGCACTAACAAAACTTTCATGAAATATTCAGGAGTTTATAGAAGGCTCCACCTCAATCTAGGGATCCAAGGACTTAAAACAAGAACATTTATGCGGTGGTAGAGGTCTAAAGCAAAACAAAGTTGATCTCCTACAACTTCTAAATTGACAAGTAGTGTGGCTGGAGAGATAGTACAGCAGGAAGCCACTTGCCTTGCACATGGTGGATCCAGGTTTCATGTTTTGTGGAGCCTACCAAGAGCGATCTTAAAGCAAAGAGCCAGGCATGGCCCTCACACAGTTATAAAACCAACCAATGAAACAAAAAGATACACTGACCAATCTGTCAGCTGGGTACCACATTTTACCACTTCACACTCCTATTTTGTCTGGATCAGATAACTGCTATGAAGGACTGCATGCACTGTAAGCAGTATCTTGCCTATCTGCTATGTGCCAATAGTTCGAATTATGAAAATAAAAATTTCTAGAAATTTCCAATTGACCTGTGTGTGGGAGAGTGTCCCAGAAATCACCCTTTGTTAAGAAGCACTGCTCTAAACAATGACTTTGAAGGCATTTCTGAAAAAAAAAAAAAAAAAAAAGGGTCAGTAGTATACATAAATGATGTGATATGCTTGATTATATAATGTCTGTACAACTTTGTAAGTTGCATTAAAGGATGCCATTTTTTCCCCCAGGCAGATCAAAAGGCAGCTAAATCACCTTCTTTTGTTTTCCAAAATATTTAGCATAGTGCCAAATGCATAGTAAGTACTTAATAAACACTTAATTGAGCTGCCTTGAAAGAGGGATTCTTATTTTAAGCCAACTGTTTGATCTTTCATGTTTGAAACATATTCTCTCCAACAGAAAATGAATCAAAACTTTAGAGTCCAAATAAGTGGCCTTTATGCCAGAATGATTCACGTGAGGTTTTTTTAAAAGGTCCTACAGCTCAGTATAATTCATTAAATATTCCCAAAATATTATATATTTTTGGGTATTTAGCTTGTTTATAACAATAAAGAAACAAAATCTTCAGTTAAATACAGTCTCATTTTTTGCCTGGCTCTTACTTAAAACACCAACATTGCAGAATGACAAACACATTGCAATGAATTAACACACTACCACGATAACTTAAAAATGCTTTGTTCTCATTGTCATCATGAGGTCATTTAAATCTCTTGCCACAGATCATGGTTGTTTATATTCTAA